GTGTAATTAGAAGTAACAGTTATTCACACATGTTAGTCATACAAAGCATTTAAGACTCTTATACACACATCAGTTATATGTCAGAGTAATAACTGACTGATGAGTAACAAAGAAAAAGTTCAAGTATTAGATTTACATGTTTGTCTAAATCATTTAGTTGTCAAATCTGTGATGCAATGTTTTGGCAAACATGGATAAAAAGAGTGTCAAAAGGATGGTTTTTCCCTTGACACCACTATTATTTTAACTACCTTCACTCCTCAGCAATGATTATTGTTTTAAAAAGCAATGATTAGATTTGTTATAAAACCTAAACATGCAAAAGTGAATTTATACATTTTCTTTGTTCTTGAGAATTGACACCAAAAATAATAAATGCTATTTATTTATTAGATTGTTTATTTACACTATTATATTATTTATTGGAATGGTTGACAAAATATTGGCTAATTATCAATTGATTCGAACTTTATAAAATAGTAAATAAGGATTTATTTATAGTTGGTTCATATATCTTAATAATTCAGTAAATGTTTATAAGTTTATGAATAAAAATTGTTTTCACATTTATTTGTTTCTAATTTGGTAAATGATAAATATTGCATTACATTAGGTATTAGTCTTTAGAAGGTTGTAAATATAAAATTGTTCCTGTAAATAACCAATCTAATAAATAAAGTGCTAAATATTTTTACTGTAAATTCTCAAAAAGAAAAAGAAAAAAAAAGTATAAATTTACTTTCATCATGTTTAGGTTTATTCCAATTCTCGTCATCACTTTTTAAAAACAAACATTGCCAAGGAGTGAAAGTTGTTAAAAAAAAAAAATAAATAAATAAATAAAAAAAAAAAGTATCATGGAAAAAAAAAACAAAAAAAAACCAGTCCTTTTGACACCATGTCTTATTGTGGGTACATTTATCCACGTTTGCCAATTAGTTTTTGTATTTTTTCACCGATATCTTCATCACAACCCATACTGTCTCCAATCTTCATCAAATGTTGTCATGTGATAAAAACAAAGAGAATAAGACTGCTTAAAAATGATAGAATACCAATAAAATTTTACTTCACAATTACAAAGTAATATAAAGCTGTAGAGTACAGAAGGTTTTGACAAATCCAATAACATTCTTAGAACAAAATACACATTACTCATACTAATTCTGAGTATTAATCACACATTTTATATGTAATCTCATTCTCATCAAATTGGAAGAATAAATGCTAATTTACAGTTCTTATAAAGCAGTCGACATTGCTTATATTTAATGATTATTTTTGGATAAAGGAGGAAGAACTATTCTCTTCATATGTATTATCTTTAATTTAATAATCCTTTAGGTGGTTCATTCTTCTTAGCTTAATCTGGTGAATAGACTTAAACAGGTTAATTTTTGTCTATATAGTGTTTGCTTCTTTAAGTTATGCACCTTGTAACTTTTTATGGAATCCCTTAGTTTTCTGGAGTATCTGACAAGATGACAGAAACGAAGCAATGACAAAAAATTTCTTGACTATTTGCTGGATACAGAATTTACTTAAAAAATACTGGAAACTAAACCAACTTTAAAAAAAAAAAAAAATTAAATAAATAGATTATAATAACAGTCCAAATATTTGATATTAACAATAACTTTTTACATTGTTGCTATATTCACATTTCGGGCGTTGTATTCTCAGGGTCTTCTTCAGATGATATACATTGGAATTTAGTCCATTGGGGGGGGGGAGGCTAGATTGTTCTAATTCCACTTGCCATGCCTGATTCTACCCGTGAACTAAATAAAATATTTGGTTCAAAATTTCAAGAAATATTACCTGAACAACAGCCGAAACATTGTGAATATGGCAATAAAGAAGAGGACAAAAGTCAGAATAATGTAAATAGTGTAAATAGTTACAATACCCCATCTCAAAAATATAGACAAATAAAAGTTTGTAATTATCAGTGAGGATTACTTTATCAAAAGTAAGTAATTAAAATAAATAATAATTAAATAATCAAAATTAACTAATTATTCTAAGCTTAGGAAATTGACATGTATAAAAAAGTGTGTGTGCATATATATATATATATATATATATATATATATATATATATATATAAATAAAATGCAAAGAGAGAAGATCAAATTTTAAAATAAGTAACCAATGATATTTCGGTGTCATATGGGTATCACAGATTTTGACAACTAAAATTGTCAAAAGATTATGCAGTTTCAAAACTTAATCAAATACTGATTGGTGATAATAAAGCAGATTTGCTCATTCTGATCAGTAATCATCTTTCCTTAAAAAAAAAAAAAAAAAAAAAAAAAAAGTTTTACATTTTGATAAAAAAAAAAAAAAAAAATAATTTCTTAAACCCATCTTAATCAAGAAGTTGAGGGAATTAAAACAATGAACAAAACTGTTCTAAAAGAATTGAAATCAGATGAAAGCAATTCAAATTTAATACCTTAACCCATATTTTTAAATGTAATAAAATATGGCAAATACAAAATAGCTCAGTGGCCAAGGAATCTTTTATTACAATAAAGAAGAAAAACTTCTGTTATCAAAACACTACAAAAGAACATACTTCTTTAACTGAAGTTGTTCATATTTTGTTCAAGTTCAAAAAAATTATTGCTATATTCATTAAAACAACAAATTGAACAAGTTTTAACTGTAAAAACACAGTTATAAATCAACAAAAAAATTAAAAAAAAAAAAAATGTTTAAATGCATTGGGTACCATTCAACTTTGCAAATTAATTACAACATATCCTTCATACATATTACATATGTATGCATGTTGCTTACAGATATACATGTATTCATGTATGCCTATTAGTTATAGGTACATAATATTACAATGATTGTTTCTTTTGAGAACAGCATGCACCAGTATTTGATGTTGGCACCTCTAAAAAATTAGAAACTATATTTTCAAATATAGAAACACATTTTGGTAATCTCTTTTTCAGCAAATGCAAATTTTATAGTTTTTGAAAATTTAATAAACTAAAAATAGGCAAAATAAATTGATATACATTACCAATAAAACAAATTGATAAAATCTCATTTTTACTTCATGTAAGTCCTGAGAAAGCATTATATGCATTACATTCATTTATAGAAATAGGTACCATTAAAAAATGGATTCTTATTATAGTGCAGCATTCTTTTTCTTTTCTTTTTTGTTGCAAAGTTTGTTTCTATAAATTGTGTAAAGCACTGGAAAAAAATCATTAAAGTGTCCATGGTGTTTGGTGCATCAGTTGACATTCAAAGCCATCATAAAATTTAATTTAAAAATTAGCTTTTTCATTACTACAATATTTTTTTTTAAATCCTAAGTCATACAAAGTGTCCAATTAAAGACAAAACCTTGTATATCATTCAACTATTCTTTATTACTGTATACAAGTTATATATATATATATATATATATATTTTTTTTTTTTTTTACTACTACTACTACTATGTTATATTTTGCTGACAGAAGATTTTGAATAGATATCCCTAATATTTTTTTTCTTTAAAAACAGTGTAATTGATATCTACCAGCCTGGGCTTTCAATAGTCTTAATAAAGAAATTGTGCATTTTTGTCAGGTTCAAACTTGCATCTCCCTTATATTGTGAAACCACTTTCAAGTCAGATGTGCTTTAGACTGCTTTTCATAGCAAAGCAAGGTTCATTTAACCTTTTTAAAGAAATGCACATCTCTCATTTCAAAGCACATATATGGTAACTTTATTTTTCTAACAGAAACATAAACAAAGACATTTCTAAGAAATTAATGGATTTTCATATATAATCCAATATTATTTTGTATTAATGTGTGTGTCATATGTATCAAACATATGTTGTCACAGAAATATTAAAGATTACATTAATAGATTAAATGTATACTACTCATTTAACTTGCATACTGATTTGTTTTTCTTTTATAAAACTCTGCTTAGGATATTTGTATAAAAGAAAAAAAATGCTTAAGAATTTTTGTTGATTCATTTTCTGGAGGTGTTTAATGGCTCCTCATTCACAACTGGGTTCATTTTATTCCGGAATTTATGCATTGGACAGTCAGGAAAAGAAAAAAAAAAAAAACTAAATATTCATTTTTTTTTTTTAAAAACATGTTCACTATCTATTCCATTTATATACATTAATGAAAATCCCACCACCCATATTTTTTGTACAAACTGATAAAAAAAAAAAAAAAAAAAATAAAATAATTGGTTCAATCCCAACTCAAATTGTTTTCCCACTAAAATAGATAGGAAAACAAGTTTTTTTTTTGTTTTCCATAGAAAATATTTGCCTGCTTTATAATTAAGAAATGAAAGCTAACATCAGGCTATGAACCATGATTGCAGAAATAAATATTTCCTTGAATTATGAGGCCCCATTTAGATTTGCATATTTATTTTTAATTTGTGAACTGCTAATAATATTCCTTCATACATAAAACATTTTCTGGTAGGTACTTGAAAAAATTTTTCCATCAGTAAAGTCCAAACTAGCATCATATATGAAAAAATGGATAATTACCAGAAGACATCTATATCATTATCGTTGTTGCTGTTGTTATAATAAATTAAAAACTGAAGACTAATAATGATGCAAGTTATAAAATGTTTGCTGGAAGATCATTTTTTAAAATTTAGATTACATTAAACCCCAAACTCCCATTTTAAAATAATAGTACCAACAGGGACTTATCATTTTTGTGTTTCTGGCATAAAACATTTTCCTGAAAGTTGATAGAAAAAAAAATATATTTAACCTTTCTTTTTCTTTGCTCCATACAAGAAAGTGCAAAGTTTTCCTCTTACTTTTTCCTTCTCTCAAATTATAAGTTTCTTTCTCATGAAGAGCACTGAATTTCCAGTAGTCTACCAGCTTCTTTTATCTCCATCTTGTTATTTTTTAAAGCCAGACAAAAAAAAAAAAAAATGCCTTTTGTAAGCTTTCTTTAAACAACCGAGCACTTTCTTTAAAGCTGTTCATTTTAAATTTTCAATTTTAAACACCCACGCCCATTCACATGGCAACTGATTTGGAAGGATTTTGGGAATCTCAAGCACAATGTTATTTCCAGAAACTGTCCATTTTATACTTCCTTCTTCATATCCTAACCATGTTACAATTGTATCCTGTGATGGTTTTGGAACACCAAGTTCCATGGATCCTGAAACTGGCAGGTCAAGGGCAATAGCATAAACACTGAGGACTCCATTTTCAGCACTTTTAGATGTGTACCTGGGGTGGAGGAAAAAAAATAATTATTAATAATTACCAAAAAAAAAAAAAAAAAAAAAAAAAAAAAAATTATTTTTATGCTCACTACTACTATGAATAGTATTATCTGCAATTTTGATTAGAAGAAACATTGTTAACCATTATTAATTTTTTATCATTATTTCTTTCATCTTAATTTTAGTTGTCCCCACCATCATAACTACTCAGTCTACAGCAATTAGTAAACAACATGGTCAGAAATAAAGAATAATCTATCAGTGATTTTTTTTTTTTTTTTACTGTAAGCTAGTGGAAATTAAGTATAGCAGAAAAAAAAAAAAAAAAAAAAAAAATTTTTTCATAGATGTAGTTTTGGGTCCAGTGATGGCATACACACAACTTTTCATTTATAACTAAATTGAAGTGAATTTTACAGATAAAAATTTTAAAAATTACAAAATCCAGAATCAAATTAATAAAAAAGGATATTAATAGATGTATTTATTAATTCAGGAAATATATTCATCCTTTATTTTTTAGACCATTTTTAATATGATAGAATAACTGGAATTCATTAGAATAAATATTTTTTACAAAAAAGAGTTTAGATCAGGAAATATATGGATTAATTCACACTCAAGGCATATATGAGAAATGATAACTGAATAAAAACTTAAAAACAAAATATAAGTGATCCATTTTCATTATAAAATTAATTTTATAAAAAAAAAAAAAAAAAAAAAAAAAAAAAATTTAAAATTATTATTGGGAAACTACAAGCCACAGAGGAAGGAGAATTCATAAAGAAGAGAAAACAATAATCCACAGAGAAGAAAAAGGAGAAATTAAAAGCCACAGAGAAGAAAAGGAAGGAAGAAAATTAGAGACATAACTTGATTAGGAAAACCTTTAGGTAAAACATAAGCAGACAACTATTTTCCACTAATTCTAGTGGTCAGCATTCCATTCCTCTTGTTACTACTTGGAAGATTGACACATTGCACTCTTTTACTTCTCTTCTGTTTGGTTTATAACAAACAAAGCTAAGAATAGTAAATATTGGTACTTTTGTGTGACATAATTATATTTAAATCTACAGAAAATCATTCACAAAATATTTCAAGTATTACAGCTACAATATTAGATGCAGTTTTTATCAAGTATTACTTGCACTGAATTGAATAATAGTTTTTAACTTAGTCTTCATAAACATTCTATTAACAAGTGAAGCAGAGGAAGAAAGCAAGATTATGCTTGTGAGTAGCTTTATAAATTACCATCTGAAAAGTTTCTACTAAATGAAGAAAAATAAAAAGGAGGAGAGAGTGTTGCTGCTTTAATTTTCAGAAATTGACTGCTTGTTATGTTCAAAAGACAAAAATATCTGCCAAAATATATGTATTGTTGTAAATAATAATTAGGAATGTTTTTGCCAATATTTATTAAATAATAATAATAATGATGATGATGATATCACCACCAGTACCACACCTTACAGAACAAACAAGGAAGGAAAAAAAAATAAGCAAGAAAATTCAAAGTGCAACTGACCAAACTTTGGGATTGAAAATGTCCTGCTGGGCTATCCATGGCTTTGTGCCATAGATGGCCTCACCATTCACCTTGAGCCATTTGCCAAACTGCTTCAGGCGTTCTTGAAAGAGTGGAATAATACGTCCATCACTCGTAGGTCCAATGTTCATCAATAGGTTTCCACCACAACTAAAATGCAAGAAGATATATGAATACAAAGATCTTACCAACTATGAACAGATGTTTAACAATAATAAGCAAAATAAATTCAATTTTTCACATTGCTATTAAATAATAAATCAAATTACATCCCTGATAGAAATCATAACTCTTAGTTTTATTAATAACATATTACAATCAGGTAATTTTATCTTAGTTTCATTAGTTTTACAGTATATCAACTTTTCCAAGTTATTTAATGTTGAATTCTGTTTTCTTTTTAGCACCATTTTCTTCTTTTAATCATGTCACCCCAAGCATAGCCACTAAGATGCAAGAGATTACAGAGTGAGAGAGAATACAAGAAAAAGAAAAACATTATTAAGGAGAGAAAACAATGGAAGAATAGAAATTAGGAAGACAGAAGTTAATGATTGATGTTGTATTTAAGTTTTGAACATCAAATATGACCAGAAAGCAAGAAGCTGGAAGAGAGTTCAGCAAGTGAGAGAAGAAACTGTTAGCAGTGAACTTAGTTACATCTAGCCATTTCAACTGTCAAATGATGAAACCTTCCCACCAATCTAGCATTGAACTTAAATTCATAAAGCCAAGGTATCAAAGAGGAAAGCAATATTTATTCTGTTATGTACAGAAATGTGGCACACGGCCGAAGGAGGGAATGGGGAAAGGACGGTCTTCTTCTGTCTTAACTATAACTTAGCTAGCCACAAACACTGACCGAATTGTACAAGCAACATTCCTTACACCAAAACAACACATTCATACGTACCAATTCATTGTCCGGGGAATAAAACAACAATTCTAAAAACTAGCCCCAATGAGTATTTACAATATGAAAGCAAAATCTATTTAGAAGAAACTAAAGAAAATAATATTCATAATAACCCCCTGCCAATCACTAAATGTAGCAGAAATATCAGTTCACTGGCCCAAATCAATGCGGGACTATAATAGTATAAAACATTCATTTATCCCATGCACTCACACTGACATGCACTCAGTCAGACACAACAACAAATGTGAAAAACACTCATGCAAAACGAAAGGTGCCCCGCATCCACCAGCAGACTGACATCACTGACCACCTAACGAGGGAGGGGATGGGGAATTAAACTCAAAGAAAAATAGGGATAGAAATAAAAGGGGGCCAATGAGCATACATAGCCTAGCTAAGTTGAAAGAAAAAAAAACTAAAGCATCAAAACTGTACCTAACCTAGTTTCAGGATGGGTTGCACAAGTTCAATCCAGGAAGAACAATATCCTGATGCCTAACCGGCATCAAAGTGCCACTCAAGGTCAGCCCCTTTCACACAACACAAATGCGCAATATTCACCCACCTTTTGCTGAATTCTGATGCCTCCATAGAATCCCTTCTGACATGTCATCCAAATCACGACTCTCATAACACCTAGCAAGCAGTGGAAGACATATTCAGTCTTTGTCAGCGATGGTGCCACATTGCTACAAACAGAAGAGGCCTCAAGGACAAAGAACTTTCCCTGAAGCATGCAAACCATGAGGCCTTCAACAAACTTGCACAACGGCTACCAATCTGCAATGAAAGAAAGTGTGACCCAGGGTCTTGACCTCCCCATCACTGCGTCGACAATTTGGAGATTTCTCCAAGCCTGCTGAGCAAAGTCTTTTGGCGACCCAGAGGACCCCATGAATCACCAGCCAGGTGAGTGATGCCTCATCGTTATTGAGACATTCTGCCTTCTGCTTCATGAGTCCAAGCTCGTCAATCTGCTCATCACGAACGGGCCCCCTGACTAACACCTGATATAATGCCCTACGAGACAACACCTGGACGTTGGAGAGGCCATCCGATGCCCATAAGAGGTATTTCAGAGCAATACGACATTCACGATAGAAGGAGCATTCGGCTCGGGGTAAACGGTGGGCCGCCTCCTTGCACGAGTCCACACTTCTCAGGGATGGGAAGTTCTTACGGGCATTTTCCTTCCAAAAGGTGTCCTCATCCAGTTTGTGACACATTTGATCTAGAAAGCCGATGTGAAGCATATATTGACGAATCTCAATGCTTGGCATGCCCAGACCACCTTCAGATGGATGAAGGTAACAGATCTCCCTACGAGACAACACCTGGACGTTGGAGAGGCCATCCAATGCCCATAAGAGGTGTTTCAGAGCAATACGACATTCACGATAGAAGGAGCATTCAGAAGGAGAACAAGAGCTTCACTAACGCCAGTAAAGTGTCAGACAGAAGTGGAACCACCGAGAGTCGGTAAAGGAGAGTTGGGTAGATGTGTGAAACACATACTTCCACTCTCCCCTTTAAGGAAAAATTCCTCCAAGTTCACAAATTAATTGCAATCTCAGCCTTCTCTTGCACCTCCGACCAATTCATTTCCAACTGGAGATCAGGACTGAACCAGACGCCAAGAATCTTGACCATTCCATCCGTCCAGATGAAATGTCGGGAAGAGAAACTCCTTTCTACGCACCCAACTGCTAGCCAACAGACTTATCACGGTTGATCTTGGCCCCTGTCACCATCTCATAACCACTGATTTCTTTGCTGACTTTGTCAATCTCGGCTCTGCTCAACACAAGAACCGAAATGTCATCAGCATAGGCAGAATACCTGGCCAATGTGGTAACACCAGGCAGGGAAATTCCGTGTAGGACTGGATTCGCCTTTAACTTGCAAAGAAAAGGTTCCAACGCAAGAACGTAAAGTAAAGGAGAAAGCGGACAACCTTGATGAATGAAGCGAGACAATATGAAAGGCTCTGATTGTACCCCACTTACCTCCACCAGCGCACCAGGAGTTGCATACAGAAGTCGGATCCAGGTGCAAAAGTACGACCTGAAACCGGCTGCCAAAAGGACAGCCTCCAGAAACCTATCAAAGGTCTTGGACTGATCTAAATTGATTATGAAGGTTGTCCTGAATAGTCCTACCCTTCACAGCACAAGTCTGTTCCGAGCCAATCAGACTAGACAGGACAGCCTGTAAACGGTTCGCTAAGATCTTAGCCAAAATCTTTAACTGTGTTTAACATAGTTAAAGGGCGAAAGTTACCTAACTCATCCCCACCATTTTTGTCCTTGTCTAACAACTTGATCATGCCACTGGTGAAGTTTCATCTAGTTGCCGAAAATCAGTGCCAGCAAGGGAACAAAAACGGGCTACTGCCTCAAGTACACTTTGTACAGAAAACCATCTAATCCCAGAGATTTGTCCAGGCCAACCAGTTTCAGTGCTTCCCAGATTTCCGACTCGCACATAGCCGCTTCAGCTGCCTCAAGGCATGGAAATTCGGGTAAATAGGCGTCGAACTGAGCAGGGCCCAGACCAGGCTCCCTGGTGAAAAGCTCCTGAAAGTACTCACAAAAAGCTTCACATACGCCCTTGTTTGTTGTCACAGTCCGCTTATTCGGCAATGTGATGCATGTGATAGGTCGCCAAGATGCATTCCGAGCTTCCTCTGCATGCAATTCAGTGGCCATATTCATTGCCTCAGAGGACATTCCTAGCCCTAACTACCAGAGTTTGATCCTTCTTGATAAGCAAAGAGGCCAACTCTGCATTAGATAAAGCTACGTCCCCACTATCACGGGATTTGATCACCCAATCAACTTTCTGCTCTGAAGCCATTTGCGCCACAAATCTATCTAGATTGAGTCGATAACTAATCAGCAGCAAACGATTTGGGATTTTACATTATCCCACCAGGCATTTCCCACAACCACTCCCGTCAGTTCTCTCTGTATCATTAGTAGCAGCTGGTCCCGGAAATCTTGCTCACCAAATAATGAGGAGTTTAATTTCCAGTAGCCAGCCATTTTAACCTTAGACTTATCTAAGTTTACACAGACCCAGACAAGCCTATGATCCAAATAAAATGGAATCTTGGACACCCTAAAAGCCCTACATCGACTCTCCTAACTAAGACTCGATCGAGGTAGCTAGAACGCACCTGTAGCTGAGCCGCCACTATTAGTCCAAGTCCAAACTACCTCCTGAGGGTGTTCATTCTGGTACTTATTGATAAGATCAAACCTGTCGATAAAGTCCCGAAATGGTTCCACGTCCCAGTTGTTAGTACCTGAATTTGGCCCTATACGATCTATATCAGGGTCAAGGACAGCATTCCAATCATCCACTAAAACTACCAAATGCGATGTCATCAAAAACGGCTCTATCTGCTGAAACAAAGCAGGCCGATCAGAATGGACATTGGGTGCATAAACCCCAATGAGACGAAGAGCCTTATCCTTTATGGTAACATCCAGCATGCAAAGTCTGCCCACCGGATCCGTGAAGACAAGAACACACACAGCCTCCAAAGATTTGCTCACCAGCCAAGAGACACCCCTTGAGCATCCATCAAAACATGCTAAATAGAGGGAAAACCTCCTAGACAGAATGCCTTCATAGTCACGAGAAGAAAAACAGATCTCTTGCACACAACATATATTCACCCCGAGACGCTGAAGGTCACGGGAGAGCCTTGCCCTGCAAGACTCCGACCTCAGGCCTCAGGCATTCACACTTACTAACCAGAGAGACATGATGAAACTGATCAGGGTTGCTCTCCTGCACTGAGCATGGCCGGGGTTAAGATACTGATAACCTCTCCCATAGAACCAGTGCCCATCTCAGTCCTGATGGAGCCATCAGGGACAAGCCACCAATGGAGCCATCAGGGACAAGCCACCAATGTCCAGGGAAAAAGTTAATTTAAGTGCTCTATACAGGGAGGGGTGAACGAAAAGCGGGAGCCTCCCTGAACAAAATTGATTTAATTTCTTAACATTATCCAAAAATGCAATTGGAGGCACCATGCCAAAGACCTGGCTTGCCTCTGTCACCATTGCCCATACATGCTTTCCAGGGGCCCCAGTCCTTATTACAGTATCCTTTTTGCATTAGGAAAGTTGCTGGGGTTCTCCACATCAAGGTTGTTAATTTTACAAAATTTAATCAAACGCTTCAGTTCTTTAAAGTTTTTGCACTGGGAAGCAAGCTT